GGGGAGGGACTGGGAGCCACATCCTGGAGCTGGAATGAGGAATCAGCTGGTGTCCTGGCCCCTGGGGTGCTGGCTCCACCAGGGCTCAGCGTTCCTCCCAGGACCAGAACCATACCCATCAGGATTCAGCATTCCCCCAAGGACTACAGTATCTCCACAAGGACTCGGGCATATTCCGTACTCCCCTCAGACCAGAGCCACTTTCCCTAGGGTTCAGCATCCCCCCAGGACCACAGCATCTCCCCAGAACCAGAGGATCCCCCAGGGACCACAGCATCCCATGCAGGACCAGCAGTGCAGGGGCGTGGCTACAAAGCTTCTCAGCCCCACTGACACCCCACATTCCATAGGGACTCACAGACATGTCTCAGCACCATGCAAGAGGAACCTGCAGCTCCCGGGTGGGCAGGTTCTGGTGGGGCACAGCCAGGCAGGGAGCGGTGCCAGGACCTGGGGACTGGGGGCAGGCGGCGGGGTGGGGGTGGGGGTGTGTGGGAACGCTGCCTCAGGAAACCAGCAGGATTTACTGGGCTACATGCTAAATCCCCCTCACAAAAGGGGCCTGTTCGTGCGGACAGGATGCTGGTGGCTCAGCCACACTTGTTTGGCCAGCAGAGCCTGGTGGATTAAGGACAATTGGTTCAGCCCTGACAGAAAATACCAGGAATGTTAAACAATAAAAACTGCCTCCAGTTGTCGTGGGGCTATGGGATGCCCCAGGCTGCCTCCCTGCCCAGCCATGGCCCCAGCTGCCCCATGCCTGGCAGAGCTGGTTCTGGCACAGCCCATGTACTCACTGCTGCAGCTCTGGGGAATTCACTGGGGGATGTGGTGGTGCCTGGGGATGGGGTATGGGCCATCCCCCTGTGCTGGGGCAGCAGGTGGGCACAGTGCTGGGCACTGCCAGGCCCCTGAAAATATCTCTGGGCTGCACTGGTGTGGATTGGGCTGTGGGGAGAAGACACTGCCTGCACCTGCAGCAAGTCCATAAGTGAGCAGGGACAGAGTGAGGCTGTGGCAGGAGGTGGCAAGTCCCTGCTCACAATGTCTCCTTGTGCCCCCTCCACCTGGCGTGAAGGATTAGCAAACCCACCTACACCTCACCCTGTGAAAGTGGCTGTGGCCCTGTTTTCCATGGAAAGAGCAGCGCAGGGTAAGCAAGAACTGCCTGCCCTCTGTGCTGTCCCCTGCATGGAGACCCCAGTCTGGAGTGAGGTAGGGGCAAGCTGGGCACAGCCCCATGGGGTTCAGCCCCCTGTCCGTGCACCCATCTATGTTCAGTCCCGGTCCCAGTCAGGATCTGGGCAGTCCCCGTGGGCAGCCTGGGCAGTTTGCCCTACAGAGTGTGAATGCCCCATTCAGGGCTGTGCAAAATGCATTGGTTCTGGCACATTATCGGACAGCTGGGATTCTTCCCAGGCAGGCAGGCTGCCGGGACAGGCAGGTTTCACACCTGCCAGTGGGCTGTCTGCCTCCGCCTGCCATGCGGGAATGGGGGGCTGGCTCCAGCAGAGAGGGGAGCAGGGCTGGGGATGGAGGCTGCAAGCATGTCAGTGGGGCTGGGATCCCCCCAGCAGCCCTGCAAGGGCCTGTGACATGGAGGGGACCCCAGGATGGCTCTGAAAGCTGCCAGGCTCCCCAGCACATGCAATGCACAACGCCCACGGCTGAGCTGAGTCCCACAGTCTGCATCCCTTGAGACCCCAGACCCCAGCACCATCACAGCAGCAGGCAGAATTCCCTTTCCAGCTGCCCCAGGCCTAGATCCTGCCCCACAGCACCTGCCAGTCCCCATCCCCTTGGGCTGGTTTGAGGCAGGCTGTGCCAGAGAGCCAGCTTCCAGGCTGAGAGAGCCAGCTTCCAGGCCGGGGGGCTGTGAGTGCAGCTGGGAGCTGGAGGAGGAAACTAGATCTGGGGGCTAACGGCCGGCAAAGCCCAGCCCTAGATGAAACCCTAAACCCCAGGAGTGGGCTGGCAGGAGGGGGCAAGACAGCTGCAGCCCTCCCTGCCCACGCTGCTGTCATTGCCAGGCACCGCAGGCAAAGGGGGAGCGAAGCAGGTATCAGAGAGCAGAGCCAGGGCTGGAGACCTCCAACTTGTGCTCCCAGGGGCAAGGGGGCTTTGGGGAGACAGCGCAGAGCCCATAACTCACTTTTATCTGGAGTGCTGGGGCTGGCCTGGGCAGGGGGGATGCAGGGGGTCCCCCGTGCACAGGGCAGGGCCCCAGAGCGCTTTCCCAGCCTGGGAGCCCACGGCAGTTGGGGGATCGGTTTCAGGGCGATGCTGGTAGCGGAGTTCACGGTGGCTTAGTGCAGCAGTGGCTAATGGGGAACAGATGCGAGGGTGCTTTGTGCTGGAGCAGGCCTGGAGGCACGGGAGTGGGGGACATCGCTTCCTGCACCTGTGGCACTGCCTCTGTGTCCCTGTAGAGTGGTCACAGGCCCACCGCGCTGGCTGGGGTGAGGAGGCAGCAAGGAGGCAGCCGCTGATCTGCCTTCCCAGCTTATATGAGCCCTTTGCCCCCCAGGAGCAGCCCAGAAACTGTGCTATTGGGGTCTATTCCAAAAAAATAATTTATCAGGTTGATATTTCACGTACATAAATATTCATCTCTGTGGCTATGTACAGATGCAGCAGGAGGCCGGCAGCAGTGGGGCTCCCACCCAGAGACACTTCCACCGAAGTGCTGGCCAAAGCCCATCTCCCTGGGCGATGCCATGGGCATCCCACACTGTTCCTGCCTGGACAGGATCTAACTCCCTCTGCCAAACAATGCCAGGCAGGTCTCAGCCAGGACTGATGGCTCAGTGCCCAAACGGAGCCAGGAGAGAGGGAAACCCTGCCCCAGCATTGCAGCTCAGGGCCCTGCCTGCCCACTGCTCACCCCAAACAAAGCAGGGAACCTCCTGGGAAGCCTGGCAGCTTTCAGAGCCAGAAACCCAGACCTGCTCCCCACAAGGGCAGAGGCAGCCTTGGCATCACCCTTCCCTGCCCGCCCTTAAGTCCTCACACTGGGGTAGGAGAAGAGGCGGGGAGCCAGTGGCAGAGGGTCATGGGTGAAGACGGAGTCGTCGGAGGAGCAGGAGCTGGCCGTGTCCTCACAGGAGGGTGAGTACTGCTCGAAGGGCATGGAGAGGTCCAGGTACTGCAGGGAAGGACGGTGCCATCACCACCAGTGCTGTCAGTGCCCATGCTGCCCACCCCCACCAGATCCTCCACCTCTCACCTCCTCTGAAACGGCTGCCAGTATCTTGTCCAGCCCCTCCACAAGCTGCTTGAAGGTGGGGCGCTGCGAGGGCACGGCGTGCCAGCACTCCCGCATCAGCATATACCTGGGGGGCAAGTGGTGTTAATGAGGTCTCACTGTGTCCCCTGCCTCCCCACCTGGCCAGTACTCACAGCTCATGGGTGCAGTTAGATGGCCGGTCCATGCGGTGACCCTCCTTCAGCAGCTTGAAGAGCTCCTCCACAGGGATGCCGGGGTACGGGGAGCCCCCCAGTGTGAAGATCTCCCACATCAGGATCCCGAAGGACCACCTAGGATCATGCGTGGCAAAGGGGGGGTCAACCATGTTCAAGGGTCCTTCCCCAGCTTGCCTCTCTGCACCCTGCAGTGCTGTGGGAGCAGGGATCATCACCTCTGGGGAAGATGTGCCCCACTGCTGCTGCCCCCATGGAGCATCTCCATCCTACTCATGGGGACCCTCCAGTATGTGCATAACTCCACAGTGCTGCCTTGTCCCACACAGACAACACACCCTCATTCCCCCCCAGGACTCACACATCGCTCTGGTGGGTGTAGACACGGTCGAACAGGGCCTCTGGTGCCATCCACTTCACTGGCAGGCGACCCTATGAGAGCAACCCCCTGCTCAGCTCAGCCCTGGCTGGGGGTCCCTGTGCCCCTCTCCCAGGACCCCCACTCACATTGCTGGTTTTCTTGTAGTAGTCGATGTCATGGACGTCTCTGGCCAAGCCAAAGTCAGCGATCTTCATCACGTTCTCTGCTGTCACCAGCACATTGCGGGCGGCCAGGTCACGGTGGATGCACTGCGGGGGGGAGCGTTGCCCACAGGGGTGTGAGATGGTGGCTCCGGTTCTGTATGTCCCCTCCACACACCCAGAGGTGCTGTTTCTCTCCCACACATCCCCCAGCACTTCTGCAGTAGCGGGGCCACCCCCTCATCAGGCTTTCTGCAGTGACAGGCGCACTGCTGGGACACACACTCCTCGGGGGGTGGGTCAGGCTTTGAGCCCCACATTTCTGGGGAGATACTGCCTTGAGCTTTGCTGGATGGGGCTGGTAGGTTCTGGACAGCCTGTGAGAATGGGTTGGGCTCCCTCTCCATGGGGACAGCAGGTTCACCGGGGACACACCGTTCTCCTGTCACCACCATGCCCTCCCCAGCTGTGCCCAGCACAAGCAGCCCGCGTGGGCTGTGCCAGCCCTACCCGCTTCGACTCCAGGTACTCCATGCCACGGGCCACCTGGTAGACGCAGGAGACCAGGTCCTTGAAGGAGAGCTGCTCCTCAGGCATTGCCGTGACGTCGAAAGCATAGTCGGGTGTCGGGGGGCGGCGGGCACGGAGGTACTCGCGCAGGTTGCCCTTCGCAGCAAACTCCACAATCACGTACAGCGGCCCTGGGAAGGGCAGCCACTCGCTCAGCTCCTGCCCTGTCCCTCCCCAGCCGGCCACTGTCCCCAACAGCCCCCATCCCCTGGTCCTGCTCCATGCCCTGTCCAAACCCTGCCCACGCAGCCCCCTCACCATCCTGTGTGCAGACTCCCAGGAGATTGATGATGTTCTTGTGCTTGTCCATGAGCTTCATCATCTCCATCTCAGATATGAGGTCAGCCAGGTCCTTGTCAGTGGCATTGTCTGGGGAAGGAGGGCAGTGTCATCGTGCCAGCTGGGTGGCACCCCAACCCAGCACTGATGCCACCTCTGTTCCTGGGACACTGGCACAGGAGTTGTTACCTTTCAGCATTTTGACAGCCACGGTGACGGCTCTGTCTGGCCGGTCTCTGTCGATCCCGTAAGCCTCTGCCCGCACCACCTGGCCAAAGCAGCCTTCCCCCAGGGGCTTCCCCAGCACCAGCCTGGCAGGGACAGGCAGAACCGTGAGAGACCACAGGGATGGCCCCACTCCCCACCCCCACATGGACGAATCCTGAGGGGCAGAGGCAGTGTGGCTGCCCCTCTCTGTCCAAGCCGAATCCCAGTGCCCCAGGGTACAGAGGTGCTGAGGTGTCTGGTGGTGGCCAGAGACCTCCCCGTCTGTCACCCACGTGCTGCTGTCCCTGGGGCAGCTGGGAGAGCAGCCCCCAGTCCCTGTCCCACATGGCACCGTACTTGTCTCGGGGGAACTCCCACTTGGCATCAAGGGGCAGGTCCAGCTCCATGACACCAGCCAGCATTGGGGCACAGCTGGAGGAGAGACGGGTGACGCGCATCAGGGATGTGCTGGACTTCCCGGAGGAGCTGGAGTCCAGGGAGAACTGTGGAGACCAAGGGACCTCAGCCATCCTGCCCCATGTTCCAGGGCCAAAGAGAGTCCCAACAGTGCTGCACAGAGACCCTCACTTGGAGCAATGGGGCGAGGGAGCCACTGGAGGCAATGGGGAGGGGCAGCCCCAAGGCTGGTAGCAAGGTAAGGTGTGATGGGTACAAGTGGCACTCGTGGAGCCAGTTGGTCACCAAGGTCCCCCATGTGCCCAACAGGGCTCCAGCTCATCACCCACCTGTCGGATGAGTGGGAATTTGGAGAGCTTGTGGACCGCCATGGGCTCCAGGTGCTGCTTGCTCGACTGAGTCTGCATCCGGCACAGCACCATGATGATGATGGCCATGGCCACGGCTAGAGAGCCCGAGGTGTAGATGATGATGTCTGTGTACTTGGCCTCAGGGGCTTCAGCTTCCCGCACTAGCTCCTCCTCTGGAGAGAGCAAACGAGTTGGCCTGAGGCATGTCCTCTGCATGCCGGGGGTCCAAGACCCCACCCCAGGACCCCACCCTACCTGGCAGGACGGTGAGCCAAGCAGACTGGTAGGAGAGGCCGATGGAGTTCCCTGCCAGGCAGGTGTACTCGCCAGCATCCTCCACGGAGACATTGCGCAGGTACAGCACCTCCACCTCAGAGCTGTTGATGTCTGCAGTCTGCCAGGGAAAGGGATGGATGGTCAGCATCCCTCTTCCTCGGGGGGCTCTGTGCACCCCTGTCACCACTTTAGGTTGGATATCTGGGATCTGGGTGCTTCCACCCTTTTTACCTTGAGCACTTGCACGTAGGGGACCCCGTCAGGACCGTAGTTGCTGCCGTTCACCTCAATGTGCTTCAGCCACTGGATGTGGGGCTGGGCATCGCTGTAGACCTTGCAGAAGAACTCCACATCACTGCCCACAAGGGCCGTGGTGTTGGCGGGCAGCCCGGCCTGCAAGATGGGCCTGTGTGGGGACCTCTCTGTGCACAGGGAGCAGAGCGGTGTCACTGACACAGTGGCCCAGAGTAGGGGCTCCTTTCTCCCTCCCTCTCCACCCACCATGGAGCCACAGAGAGCCATTCCCCAGCCCTACAGCAGACCAGTGCAAGACGAGCCTGGTCTCCATCCCACATCCCTGGGGTGCAAGGGACATGTGGACTGCACCAGAGAGAAGCCATGAAGCTCCTCCACCCCCTTCCCCTGACCCCAACCCCTCTGCCTGGCGTGGGGGGAGCCTGGACCAGCGCTGTGCTGAGGAGCCCTCACCCAGCACGTCCAGGAGGTAGCTGTAGCGGATGCTGCCAAACCTGTTTTCCACCAGGCAAGTGTAGTTGCCACGGTCAGAGGGCACCACACTCTCCATCACCAGGCTCCAGTGCTGATGCCGGAGCTGCCGACGGGGGAGATAAGGCAGCAAGGTGAGATGGGGGAGATGGATCCCAGGAGGGGAGGTGTGGTAGGGGGAGCTGGCCCGTACCCGGATGCCCCCGATGCGGTGCTCCCCCCGGAACTCGCGCCCATTCTTGAACCAGCGGATGCTGGGGCTGGGGGTGCCCGAGGCCGGGCAGCGGAACTTCACTGTGTTCCCCGCGGGGACTGCATACAGCTTCTTGTCCATCCGGTGTGGGTGAGTCCAGTAAGGAGCTGGGGACATGTGGGATATACAGTGGGAGGGGGCCAAAGGGCAGCAAGGGGCCTGTTCCCAGCTGCCTGTGCTGTCCCATGCCCCTGGTTCTGCCCCAGCTGCCCTTTTCTGCAGTGCCCTGGCATGGTACTGACCTCTGGGCACATAGATGGGCTCCTCATTTCGGTCTCCGTGGGGACTGTCGCCATCACTATCTTCATCATCATCACCTGATGCCAGGGAGTCTGCAAAAGGAAATGGATTGAAGGGGACATCCCTGACTGCAGGGATATTTAGGCAGTAGCTGCCTTGCTGCCCTGGGGGTTGCTTGGCAATGCCAGGGCCCCTACCCACTATGGAGATGGTGAAATTGCGCAGGATCTCCCCAGTCCCCCGTGCCTGGCACACGTAGAGCCCTGAGTCCTCATAGGCAACCTCCGAGATCTCCAGCAGACTCTGCTGGACATGGATGCGACCTCCCGAGACAAGAGGCCGAGACTCCTTGTACCAGACCACACTGGCACCGCTCTGGTTGGCATCACAGTACAGCTTCAGCACATTGCCCGGGTCCAGCAGGAGATGTTCTTCTTCTGACTCCAGCAATGGGCTCTCAAATAGCTCTGGAGAGACACGGTGAGTGCCCACCCTGGTGCTCACCCCTCCCAGGACCCCACCACATGCCCACCCCAGTGCAGAGAATATGTGGTGTGACACAAGCTGGTGCCCAGCTCTGCCACCCCAGAGGCGGGTGAGGGCTGGACTCTGCCCTAGGGCACAGGGACATGCTTTCCCCGGCGGCATGTCCTGTCCAAGGCCACACATGGCACCATCCTTCCACCACTCCCAGTGACACAGGTGCTCCAGCCCATTCTGCTTCACTCAACCCAGCAACAAACCCAGCCGGCCACCCATCGTTGGACCTTCACATGGCCCAGGCATGGCCGGGACCCCTACACCTGGCTGTCCCCGGAGATGCCCAGGCTGGCAGCAGGGCCCTGCCTGCCCATGGCCAGTAGCAGCGTGTGCACCTGGAGGGCAGACACCACCTGGCTGCCAGAACAGCAATACCAGCGCAGCCCGACTGCCCGCGTGCAGTGGCCTGGGGGTCAAAGTGCGTCCCCAGCCCTCTGCGTGGCCAGTACGGGTGGGATGTGAGGTAGCTGGGCCTCTAGTCCCCTGGGACACGTCCTCCTCCCGTACCCACCATGGCGAGGCACTGCCAGCACCTCACCAGGAGCCACACAGAACCGCGACAGCCCACGGCGGTCACGCCACCCTGCTCTGCCACGCATATCCACCGAGCGAGCCAAGCCTCCGCGGCACAGGGACAGCCTGTCTGGAGCCACCCTGCTCCTCCCAGCCTCCACACCTCCTCTCCCGGTGATGGAAACGCTGGTCCCCGTGCCATGTCCCCGGCTCCCGCCAGCCCAGCCCCGCAGGCAGAGCGGTGGGGCTGCGTGCCCAGGGTGAGCACTCGCACCCCCAGCCCGGGGCTCGCTGCCCATCTGGGATGGGGAAAGTATTCAGAAAGCATGACTCCCTTCCCGCCACCTCCCGGCCCCGCTTCGCCCCCCGCAGCCGTACCTGGTTCCATCGCCTTGCCCTGGGCAGCCGCCGCCAGCAGCAGCCCTGCCACGACCTGTAAGAGGGGCCGCATCTTCCAGGCCCCCGCGGCGAGGGGGGTCTCACCCTGCGGGACAGGCAGGGCCGGGTGAGCGGATCCGGGCGAGCAGCCCCCTCCCGTCCCGGGGCACCGGGGAGCAGCGGTGCGGAGTCCCCAGGGCACGGCGAGAGCGGGTGAGCATGGAGGGAAGGCAGAGAACGGGTGTCCCTGGGCAGTTTGAGATCCCTTACAAAGCCTCCCCCCCTTGGGAGTGGGCATGGAGAGGGGGGAACACCCCGTTTGGATGCCGGGAACACGACCCGTCCTGCCAGCGGCAGCCTCGTCAGGGCGCTGGGGGAGGTTTACCGGGAGAAGAGGGACAGTGGGGATTCCAGGGAGGGGGGAGAGTGTCCCGAGTGGGGATCCCGAATAGTCTCGGGGGCGAGGGTCGCGTTGTTACCGGTGGTGACGGACTCCCGCGGCGGAGCCGCCCGCGCTGCGCGGGGAGGGCCCGGGCAAAGTCCGGGGGCAGCGGGCTCAGCGCCGCCGCGCCCCGCACCGCGGCCCCATGGCGGCAGGACCGAGGACGGCTCTGGCTCCGGCTGCAGGCAGGGCTGGGGCTCGCTCCGGGCTGGCTCCCGCCCCGCTCTGCCGCCGCCGCGGGGGCGCGGGCACTTTGTAGGGGCGCGCTCGGGTTACAGTGGCCCCGCCCGGAGCGCTGGGAAGGCGCGGGGGGGGACGGGGACCGGCCCCGCTCCGCCGCCTCCTTTGCAAACCGACCCGCCGCCGGGCTGGGAGGATAGTGGGGGGTGTCACCGACCGCGACCCCCCCCCCAACAGCGAGAGGCGGCTCCCGGGCCCCGGCGCTGCACCATCCCCGGGAGGGTGAGAACGCGTGGGACTGCAAAACACCCGGGGCTGCTCCCCTGTGCCATCTCCCAAGCAGACCCCACGCGTGGAGAGCAGCAGATGGGTCGGGGGGACAAGGCCACCCCCGTTTTCCCCCGTGGCACCCCAGTTGCTGGGAGCAGGAGCATCCTGGCCCCGGGATGCCGAGGGTGCCCCGGCAGCAGTGCCCGCCGGCGGATGCCCTGGCCCGGGCTGGGCGCGGAGCGTTGCTGGGTACCCGGCAGACCGCACGCTAATTGCGCCGTAATTAGTTGTAGCGTTATCGCTGCCGGTGCCATAAAGCGGCTGTGACCCTCATTAGGAGCCCATAACGGAGCGTCATAAAACACCCAGAGGCTGCGAGCCAGCGTCGGAGTGGCCTAATCCGGCCCATAAACACTTCGTCCTCACCTTCCCCGTGCTGCTGCCTGTGCCGGAGTGGGCAGACCCCACCATGCCCAGGCCACGCTGCCCATCTGCCCACACAGGACCCCTAGGCACTGGGGGATGCCTGGCCTCACACACTGACCCAGTGTGGTCCCCAGGCACACCTTCCCCTGAGCATCCTGCTGCCGTAAAGGGGAGACAGAAGGTGTCCCCAGCACACGGCCACGGTCCGGTCCCAGCGTTGCTCTCCGTTGCTGCATCGCCATCTGCTTCACCATCTCTCTGCTTTCCAGCAAGACCTTCCACGGTCCTGCTGAGTCCCGCATGCAGCACTGTCCATGCCTGGTGTGGAGCCTGAGTTCGTGTGAGTGGGATGCACTGTCACCCCTTACCCTGTAGGGCCACACTGCCAGGGCCAAAGCAGAGCCATATCTGTACTGCTCCAGCACGCCAAACCAGCAACTTTCAGCATGACATGGCTTCATTATGAGGTCTGGTTGGTGCACCGTTCCCCTGTGCTGCCAGGGTGCTGGTCCCCCCCCGGGGTGCAGAGGTGCACAGAGCAGTCCCAGGGGCCAGCAGCCCCCAGCAGCTGTTCATTCCTGCTGATGCGTGAAGCGGACAAGAACATCAATTTCACGGAGCAGCGGCCACCCCTGCAGAGTTCACAGCGTGCCGGAAGCACAGAAAAATGTTGGGTTCAGCTCAATTCGAACCAAAACCAAATTAAAACCAGAGAGAAGGGGTCGTTCCCAGTGATGGGAACACCAGGGGAGAGCTGGGACTCTGGGGAGCCCATGGGAGCCATGGCCTAGGATGGGCAGGGAGAGATGCCCTGTATCCCAGGGTTCCCCGATGCTGGGTGAAAGCAAGGCAAAGAGACCAGTGCTGGCACCTCATCCCATGGTACACCAAGCATCCCTGCTGGGTCAGGGCAATGCTGGGCACAGGCTGGGGCTTGGTGGGATGGAGCCGTGGGCAGCTGGGAACCCATAGCCTCCCTGCCGTGGGGCAGTGCTGGGCCAGGGCTGGGCTGCCTGGCTTGATTTATAACAGCAACTGACGGCAAACAAAAAGCCCTTCACAGCAGCACAGCCCCACCGCCTGCCATCCGCTGCCGGCAGCACCGCCATGGCCTCTGCCACGCCAGCAGCTCAACAAGGGGGGATTGTGCCAGCACAGCACCCTGCGCTGCTAGTGCACCCCTGTCTCAGCACCCTCCTCTGCTGCTCCTGTCTCCCCAGCTCATGGACTGCTCCCATCACTGTGACACTGCATGGGATGTGTGACCCCTGCCTGCTGAGCCACAGTGGGAGCTCAGATGCAGTGGGGTACCCAGAGAGGGAGTGTGTCCCCATAGCCCTGCAGATGGGGCAGGTGGACCCACTCTGCCCCATGCCCAACTGGGAGAGGTGACCCCCTGGCCAGACCCTCAGGCTCACTTACAAGTGCGGGGCCCCACGGCAGCGAGCACGCACAAGGGGCCGGGCGCCGGCATGCTGGAGCTTCATCCTCCCGCCCCTGCCCCTTCCCCCAGGCAGTAAATCATCCCCACTCCTCTCATGAAAGGCCCATGTATGCACTGCCGGTGCAGGGAGCCTGCCTGGTGCCAACAATATTGCTCTTGGAAGGCAGCCGGAGCTGCAGGAACACAACCGCCCCTTGTGCCTGGCCCCAGCGCTCGCCGACACTCCCGCTGTGGTGGCACCTGCGGCCAGCAGGAGCACGCGCGGCACCGTGGCTCCTGGGGGGCCGGAGCCTGGGGGGCTCTTTCCTCCTGGAAGTTTCTCTTGGCTTCCTCTGAACAGCAGTTGTTTGAGGGGCAGGAGCCCCAGCTCCCTGTACCCCATACGTGTATGGGGTCCAGGAGCTGAGGCTGAGCAAGCTCATGCCATGTACTGGGGTGATGGGAACCCCTTGGCACAGAGGGAGCGGGCTAGCCCTGGAGCACAAGGGTGAGCCCCAGCACGAGGGCTTCCCTCTCCATCCAGCTCCACTGGCCACATGGCAGCTTTCAGCCACAATCTGCTGCCCTCACATCTGTGGGGACCCACCACGGCAGGCAGGGCCCACGGCAGAGGGGCAGCCACCCCAGGCTGGGCAGGGCACTCTGCAGGGGTTGGGTCCGGTGCTGGAGGTAAACAGCCAGGCTCAGGGCAGTGCTTCCCACCAGGCCCTGGTCTTGCCTGCCCATCCTTATCTCCAGCTGGGAGGGACTGATGGAACAACCCAGCTCGGTTAAGGTTTAACCAGGCAGAACTTGGCAAACATGAACCTGCTGCTCCCTCTGGGGAGCCAAGAATGTGGGGCCCAGCACAGGGGCTGCAAGACAGGGACACTGAGGTCCTGGGCTTTGGCCATAGCATGGCACAGGAGCACTCGCAGACTGGGGCAGCGAGGGCTGAGTGGGGAAAATGTGGGGTGGGGGTGGCCTGGCAGCAGAGCAGGCAGTGCCATGTCTTGTCCCTGCTGCAGTCCTGTTGCCCCTTCCTGTCCCAGCTGTGTGTGGGAGTGCTGGTACCACAGGCAGCACAGGGAACAGGGTGCATGGGGCCAGGATGGGTGCTGCTCCCCTTGGGGACGTGGCACATGCCATGTGCTGGGCTGGGAACCATGGTGCCCACCCATGGGCCAAGCAAGCAGGATCTTTGCCTCTCAGCCCTGTCCCCTGTACAGCACTGGGGAGAGCTGCAGCCACGGCAGGGGGCGTGAGGCAGGAACGGGGCCACCCCGATGCTCCCAGCCCCTAATCGCAAGCAGGCACCCGGCCCTGACTCCACATCTGCACCTGATTTACTTGCTGGAGCCAGTGAGGCCACGAGGGATGGCAGCGGTTGGGGCTGCAGCTGGGGCTGCACTCCCCCCGGCTCAGGGGGAGCCCCATGGCCCAGCCCTGCACTTCTGGAGCAGCAGTTGGCCCCACGGAGCTGCTGCGGTGAGGGCAGGGGACTGTGGCGCTTCTGTGGGGGACGTGGCTGGCGGGCAGCTCATGCCCTTCCCCGTGTCTGCCAGCTGGGAAGCACTGGGGCTCAGCCCAGGGAGGCAGCCAGAGCCCTGGTCCAGGGCAGGGATGAGCAGAGCTGGGCTGACAGCATGCCAGCATCAGGGCACACCTGGGGACAGGGGCCACTCTCTGTCCTCAGCCTCCCCAGGCTTGTGGGTGGCTCTGGCCCCACAGCCTGGCT